TTTTTAAATTTGTGTTGATCTTATCTGTAGTTTATTATAGGTTTATGTTATTATATTACATGATGTGGCAAGAAAAATTATGTTACTACCCAAACATATAGTGATAATAAATATCAACTAAACATCTAACTCTTCCACAACATAATTAAATCAAACATTTGAAAATATTTTCTGACTGAATCATCAACAAATATTTGTGAATATAAACTACAATAAACCTAAGACATATTACTTACACTTAAAAATATAAACCAACATAAAAAAGACTCTAAAAACACACTTTCACTCCATAATAACTGGAGTGATCAAAGGCTTATTGTCGAAAAACGCCTCCAAATTCCCCCATACGATCTCAAACGTTTTCCGCAACGACTCCCCAGTGTAGACACCAACATGCGGCGTCATGACAACATTGTCGAGCTCCAAAAACTCGTTCGGGACATGAGGCTCGTTTTCAAACACATCCAACCCGGCCCCACCAATCTCACCCGCTTGCAAGCAAGCCACCAATTCCTTCTCGTCAATCACGGGCCCACGCGCAATATTTACGATAAAACCCTCCTTACCCAGAGCCAGGAGCACGTCTCGGTTGATCAAGTGTCGAGTTTGCTCGGTTAGCGCGCAACATATGACGAGTGCATCAGATTCGGCAGCTAGTTTGAGGATGTCCGGATAGAATGCGTACGGGATGGAGGGCTTCTTGTTTCTCGAGTGGTACAAAATGCGGCAGCCAAATGAATTGAGTCGTTTCGCGACCTCAAGTCCTATGTTGCCTAAGCCCACAATTCCAACTCGCTTGCCTGCTAACTACATTTGGATAGTCGATATCAATATGAAACCATAATCAAAGGTGGCTTTAGTTTATGACTAGTTATATTGTACCTTTTTTTTTTAAATTTTTTTTTTTCAACGGCAAACAATAAAATTCTATTAAACTCAACCAGAAGTCTTACAACAACGAGGCCTAACTAGGCACAACAGCTACCCGGGCAAAACACACGCAAGTCCGACCATCAACAGAAAAAAGATTACAATTTTCCTTGAATAGCTATTATGGCTAAAGAAGGAGACATTATACAAGCATCACAATCAAAACGAAACAAGAGAACCCACTTTACATAGAATCAAACACAGAATCAAACAACATAGGCCAGGCAACCTGGTACATAGTACAAATGGCTTATGACAATCCAAGGAGCACAATAACCACACATCACACGTTTAAATATTGGGATTGGATATAAGATTTTTTTCGAATATTTTTGTCTTCGTGCATTGAAAATTTGAAAAAAAAAAATCTTAAGAATTGATATAAATATCAAATCCCCTGTATATTAATTCAAAACGCGCTAAGCCTAAGTAGCAGACTCGAATACTTTGGAATCATACGTGTCAAATTACTATGCTTCGTATTTAGGTTCAGATAAAAAAAATTAGAAACATAATTGACTTGAATCAACCATAAATAATTATTTCATCTTTCATTATTACACCCTTAAATATCTTTTTCATTACCATAAATTTATTGTCTCCCATAAATTTGTGTATTAACTATATCATATTATTATGAGAGTATATCCTAAGATAACTTCGTAAATTTGGTATTATGTAGTTTCAAATGAGTTTTTAAACAATTCATACATGTATTACTTTTCCATATTTTATATCATTCAAAATACATTTTGTATCATTCTTTATTAGAATAAATTTAATTCATTGAGTATATATTTATATTGAATAAATTAGTTTTAAATGAGTTTATAAATTACCTAATAATATTAATTCAAAAAGATATAATTATTTAAACTAACTAAACTACAAAGTAGTTTCTGATATAAATTAAAAAAATTATATAATATAAGATGGTAAGTCGTAACAGTGCCAATTTTAATATAGATAACAATTTATTTTTCAAAAAAGTATTTAAAACTAAAATAATTTTTGGTATTATTATTTAAATTTTAAATATAATTTTCTTAACAAGTACTCGTACATTACACGGGGATTGTACTAGTTATTCATAAATATGAAATAAAATTATAAAAATTAACTAATAAGACTGGAGTAAATAAATAGTCTTTTTGTTGGAAATATATAATAATATATTTATTATTGTTTTATAGTTTTTAATTGTTTTAGTGTTGCAGATAAAAAAGTGAGATGAAATGAATAGCAGTTGTTGTGAAAAAAATTTTAATTTTTTTTTTTCAATAATATAAAACATAAACAATAAAAAGAAATTATATCTTGAGAAATAGAGCAGTGTAACTCTTACCCTGTACCCAAGAGGATAGATTTCTTTCTCGGGCCAAAGCCCGTTTCTCACGAACCGATCTGCGGCGCCGATTCTCCGCATCACGTCGAGGAGGAGCCCCACCGC